AATATATGCATGTAAAAATATTTTGTACTTGTATTTCATATTATATTTCGAGATTTATTGTATAGATATAAAAATTTTGTGTATGGAGTATGTAACAAGAAAAGTAAAAAAGTTACATAAGGTATTACAACACATCAATTTCAATTAAACCTTGCAAATTGATGAAACGAAAAATATTTTATGTCTATTCATATTTGGTATACATATTCAATAGTTATTAATAAAAAATTTCATACTAAACGCATTTGTCTTTAAAGGTTATAAATTTTGAATCTGTTTTAAATGTGTCAGTAGTTTAATATTAAGGATTGAAGCTTTGTAAATTTATAATTCATGTTTAAAATCTGTCAAGATATGGTGTTTTTCTATTAAATTTGGTTTGAAATTGTATAGAAAATATTGAAATGTTAAAACATTTTTTTCTATGATTCTTTAGTATATGTGACATTTTTGAAAATGATATATGTTAAAAATATTTACTTTTGTATACTTATTATTGTATATATATTTGAGAAAATTGCTTTGTTAGAAAATGTCATCATCAATAGTGTATGAAATGCTATGTTTGGTTGATAAGAACAATTACTTTAATATCATAAATGCAAAGTGCCGGTTATTTGAAAAATGTTCAAAGTTATGTATATCTGATGCAATACTATGTAACAAGTGATATTTATTGTAAATATTTCTCGAATTTTGTCAAGAGGTGGTATATAAACAAAATTTTTAGTTTGTAATTATTTAGAAATTTTTATTTTCATGAAAATTCTTCAGTACAAAAGATAAAATTAAAAAATTGTAACTAACAAAATTGAAGTATAATAACTCTATACATATTTCTACATTTTAACAATAAATCTTTTGATTATTTGAATATCTGTTTGAAATAGTAAGGTGGCTTATGCATATTTAACAATATCTTTATTCTATTTTTATAATCGACCTCCAGTTTTGTTTTTTAATTCATACCACAAAATTTTGTATATAGTTATAATGTAAATGACATACATACATTTGTTTGCTTTTTTATTTCTCATACAAGTATGTTTGTAGAAAAATGTAACTTGTCTAGAAAAGCTTTTGTACATGCATTGTCCATAAAAAACAGTTTGGGAACTGAAATTGAAAAATTAGTTTTGTTTTAAATATATTTATTAAATAAAAATGTTT